CTCTCTCTCTCTCTCTCTCTCTCTCTCTCTCTCTCTCTCTCTCTCTCTCTCTCTCGATCTATCTCTATCTCTGACGAATCCCAACAGCACGTCTCCCTCGTCTCCCTTCGTCTCATGTGCTGTGTTCGTCAAGTCTCGCCGCTGGTGGCTTCACGCCAATTACACAGTCCAACTTGAACGAAGAGAATTAAGAATGAAGCATAGGGCTAAGCAACGCCTCCGCTACTACGTAAATTAGTACACACAGGCTATTGCCCAGGTGTGGGTTATTGTGTGCGTTATCATTTTGTTGCATCTATCACATGTACAACCATCGTCTATGTGTAGCATCCGAAGCACGCTTGGTGGTAGCTCGGAGAACGTATTGGAGCTGCCGAACGCATACCTCACAGCCACCGACGAAATAGCACCCCCCGCACAATATACCACACCGGGATACTAGTCAGAAGACAAAATGACGTGGCAACGCGTGTGTTATCTTTACGGTACACGTGAGCATGATGATCTTGCCACGTTTTGCCTCCGCGCACTTGTTTCTCTATCCAAGGCGGTACAGAAGCGAAGCCGAAGGTAACAAGATGTTCGAGCATGGACACCGCGGGGGTAGAACGAAGGAGCGCGTTGCCGCTATGTTGCTTCAGCGAATTATCCGGGGGTTCATCGGCCGCAGGTATTTTTTCAGCGATAGATTCGTTGTAGCACCCACATCTCAATGGGCGTAAGTAGGGGGTGGGTGGTGTGATGTGAATTGACTTCGTCGTTGCTTTGGTGCCTGTCTGTCGGTGTTGTTGCTGGCAGCCCTATTGCTGCTGTCGGTGTAGCTGTCGACTGTCGTCGTCGTCGTCATCCACCTCCTCTTTCACCGCACACACCCATGTTCTGAGCATCGGCCTTGCGCTCGCCTTGACCGCACTGAATTTGTTGCTCCGTTTGTCTCCGCTGCTACTTGCTGTTTGCCTACGAGCTGCTTTTCCTCTTCACTTTTCGCGCTCTTGTGAACTTTCGAGACAACGACCTGTCCTCTTCAACCAAACATGCCATGGTCTCTTTTGTGGGTGTTTCCAGCACAACAACACCCCTGACATTCATCCGCGTGCGACGTACCACCGCACGTCCCACCGCCGTACCAGACGTACCACCGCACAACGTCAAGAGTTGCCCCACAGCAACTACAATGGTTCTCCGGACCTACACCCCCCGTCAGGTTCCCCCCCACCGCCCCCCCCCCCCCTACACACACACGCATCTTCCACTGTCCCGATAAGAACACACGCCCTCCAACTACCCGAACTACTGACACGCAGGCGCAGCGGTCATAAGAGAGCCGGTTGCCGGCGCCCGGCTCCCTGCGGCTACCGCCGCAACCACTGCCAAGCCCTCCCTCCGAACCACTACCGCCCTCCACCGCGCCGGCACGGAGGACACGGGGGGAGGAGGCACGCCCATGGAGGGGGGGGGCACGGGCACGGGGGGGGCGGGCACGGACACGGGGGTGGGGGGCACGGGCGCTAACACGACGAGGTGATTGTGTTTGGGGGGCCGCATAGTGTGAGATAGTTTTTCCAGCTTTCCTTCTTCGGGCAGCCGGCAGGCACAATTGTCCCCCCCGGCTAAGTGATGTCGAGAGGATAGATGAGCTAGGAAAAACGTTTTTTGAGCCACCTTTGACAAAGTAGGAAGGAAGGATTGGCCATCGGTGATTGGTCCAGTGGGAACGATGCTCCGTCCTCTCGAGGACGCGTGGTCGATGGTTTGCCCGTCGAGCTTTGCAAAACGTGAGCACGCGCGCCCCCCCCCCCGTCCCTATGATTGATATGTTGGAAACCTGGGGAGGGGGGGGTGTATTGTGTGTCCAACCAGCTTGACGTTTTCGGGGACGTGGTCCGCCCCTCGTACTCGAAACCACGATCATGACGGATACTAGGCGAAAATGCTTGCAAGATAAGGGTAGAACTACGCGACGACTACTGCTACCGCTGGCATTCTCGTCTTCGAGTCTGAGCATTCCCGGCGTCTGGAACGCTTGTAGAGTTCTGCATGCGCCGCGCAAGTTCCCCCTAGGAGATGGTTCTTCCGGTTCCCTCCTCGCATAAGCTACCCGGCCACGGTTTCGTCCGGTCTTCAACCTTTCCCAGCCTGCGGGGATTATAGCGTCCCCTCTGTCCGGTTTCGACAACCCGGGGAGTGCACGGGCGGTTTGAACTGAACCGTTTGCTTCCGCCGCCATTGCCATCCCCACAACCACCACCGACACCATCTACGGCCCCGCTTGACAATGCTCCTGTGTTCCTTGTTCTCGGCTTGACGTGTTTTTGAAAAATAAAACGAGAATTGAAATTGCGAACGACAATCAACCAGCTCCAATCTTGATGGTTGACGATGTAAAAATGCAAAATTCCACCTGGACAATCGTTTACAGTCCACCTTGTTTGCCCATGTACATAAGGGGCGTCCAAACGCCCACTGATATGTGGAGCTTGCCATTCCGAGACGTATTATTTTGTCCGTATGCGTCGATGCCACACACACGTTGATCTCGTTGTCGCGGGAGAGGCATGGTTCTGTGCTACAGCAGTACACACCGACACCGTTATATGTAGTCGTCACAGACTTTTGGCTGTCGATTGCTGCCGTGATCGGCGCCGTTGGCAACCGAAGGCATGGTGGTCGCTCGCCAGACCACTCTTGGCGTCAGTGGTCGTTGCGGGCGTTCCAGTTGGGGGCGTCTACCGCATCGCCCTCCCCTCCCCCACCATCTGTGTGCCCCCCTGCCCCCGCCCCGTCGTTGGTTGGTTCCGGCACCATCCAGTCTTTCCCCCACAGGTGTTCCGGAGTCGCTAGCACCGGGGAACTTGCTCGTGTTCGCCTTGGAATAACCAGAAGGGAAATATCACAACAGCGTGCGTGGTCGTCGCGATAACAACGGGGGGGGGGGCGGGGGGGGGGGGCAGGGAGTTGCACACGAACAGCTGATGAGTGTGGTGAACTGAGGGGAAAGTAGTCTGGTGAGAAAAAGACATTTACCAGCGGTGCTGCTGTTGATATCGCAGCGGCTGCGAGTGCTGCTGCTGCTGTCGAGGACAAGCGTGGCTCCAGTTTNGGGGGGGGGGGGGGGGGGGGGGGGGGGGGGGGGGGGGGGGGGGGGGGGGGGGGGGGGGGGGAGGGGCAGGGAGTTGCACACGAACAGCTGATGAGTGTGGTGAACTGAGGGGAAAGTAGTCTGGTGAGAAAAAGACATTTACCAGCGGTGCTGCTGTTGATATCGCAGCGGCTGCGAGTGCTGCTGCTGCTGTCGAGGACAAGCGTGGCTCCAGTTTACCAGCTGCTTGAGTGTTGTAGATATGCATGTGCTTTATCTGTCCACCCCCGAGGTGAGTTAGCTTGTAGTTTTCCTTTGCTCGTCGATTTTTCGTCGGTTACATTTTCGGGTAGTTCCTCCTGCAAGAATGACGACGAATCCGGGAGAGGTCCTGGAAACAGGTGATGCATGGGCCCTGGCGGGCCATATCGTGGTGTACGTACCCCCAATGCATCACTTCTGACTGCAGATGCGGCGCTCATTGTTTCGGCTCGGTTCTTGAATTGAAGATTTTAATACATGATTCTTGTACTCGTACTTGCGGCTGGGTTTGTCTGGAATTGAAGATACGAACACTTGCAGATATTTTGTGTATTCCCTGCTGTTGATGTTATGTCACTTGATTTGGTTTTAGTATTGATGGCGGCGGGCCCAGGAAGGTGAAACGAGTCTAGGAATCCAGGCCCTGCATAACTGAGACCCACTCTACCACTCTGCCGGCGGCGAGGGCGGCGACGGCGGCTGCTTCCACAAGAGTGCGCTAGAGCTCGGTACAAACACACGATTTTTCAGTTTAGTAGTCTGTGTCGAACGACGACTTTCGGCCTCTGTACATTCATCCGCACAGCTGCGGCAGTAGAAGTGCTGGGGTTAATTCCAGCGTTGTTGTGGCCTTTTCCTTCTGCTCCTTCCACCCTGTAGGATAACTGGCGTTGGCCACGTGTGCCATTGGTTTCGTGGCGGCGACCATACCAGTAGCATGTGAGTTAGGAAGTAGAGTTGTATACCAACAAATCTCTAGCAATCTGTGGCCCAGAGAGCGCGGAGAGAGGGACGTCTCGATAGGAACGTCCCTGCTGGCTATTTATTGTAGATGAGAGCGAGGTACAACAGCAAACCGAAAATCTAGCTCCTCGGGCATGTTTTCGAGGGGCTCGCCGGGCGGCTACCAGAAAGCAACCACAAGTGTTGCGAAGAGGCGACCAGTACGACAAGATTGACTCCTTGCCGCCCGTGACGCAGCAAGTTTCACGTGGCCAGCGATGGGCAACGGGCCATCCCACAAAAAAGTGGTAAAAAATATGGTCGACGCCCGTTTGCATTGGACACGAAGTAGCATTGTTTGCTTGTTGTGCTTGATTGTGACCTTCGGAAACTCGCCTGTGTATGACTGCACACACAAGAAGCATCTGCCCGGCTTTGGAAATGGGGATCCAACAGGTTATCATGCCGCGCTTTACCCTCGTGAGGTGCAAGAGAAGAGTCGAGCTATTCGCTTAGAGGCAGTAGGGTAACTCTCTCCAAAAAGGGTTACATCTTCCACGCGCGTTACGTTGTACGGGACTTACAGGAGTGCGTCGCGCATTGCCCCGACCACCGGCTTCTTCGGTTGGAACTCCTTGTCCCAGGGAAGGGGACTGTCCGGCTCGTAGAAGCTGTGCACCCTGCCACCAACAGACAAGGACACACATGTTTTTGTTGGGGGCGTAGGGAGCGGTTGTTGGGGGCGTAGCGAGAGGCGTTGTTGTTTGTTGATGCCGCGTGCGCGTGTGTTCGGAAATGGTCAAAAACCACCGATAGGCGGGTACGACAATGCTTCAGAGACTACACCAACTGCATAAAGCTGGGGCTTGCAAAGTTGAGCGGTCAACCGAAGCTTCCGGCGAACACAACTCCCCAGGCAGGCGCGTCGCCGTCGGTGGTGTCCAGCCCGGGACACCTCTGCTACCGTTTCGCATGCATTTACGCGTCAAAGGCACAACGAAGGACGAAAACAAAAACGACAAAAACAAAAACGACAAAAACTCGAAAACTAGAGCATGGGCCAGGTGTGTAGACTAGTCTATCCTGACGCAAATCGAACGTACCCGTTGCCTCCTATACTCGCTTTTCAATGATAACAAGAGATCTTCGGTTCCCAGGTGTAGTGACCCGCCACATCGAAGGCTGGTGCGAGGGGGAACCGTCAAGGGTTGGTTCATCAATATGACAGCAACGCTGTACAGCAACCGATGAACGAATGGTTACGGAATCACCAGTGACCAAAGGCGCAATGAATCTACCGAATCTCCGCCCCTACGGTACGTGAAGGCACCACACCACGGCCACCCGTCCCTGTTGGATAGTCGCCCATACTGCTCAATGAATGGGTGTACAGTCACCTGGCAATCTTAAGAAGCCAGACATATGCCACGCGCGGAAGTGTTGTATTGTGTACACACGGCGTTTCGATTATCAAGCGCTTGTACGTGACGCTACACTTCGTGCAGCAGGCAAGGGCTAGAGCCACGCCAGCACCTACCAGCTGTGCAGATCGGTGAAACCCCAGAGCGTGAGACCGTCGAAGGCCTCCTCGGTAAGGCAAGCCTCCAGGATGTCGCCGTAGATTGCTGCCTGGGCTGTTTCGCCGTCCACGCCGTCGGGGAGCTGGTGAAACAAGAAAGAGAGAGGTGCGCGCACCAAGAGATAAACTAATACGGCGAAGCACGGAAAGCACCAGAAACGATAAGCAAGCATGACGCAAAAAACAAATGAAACAGCGAAGCAGGCAAAGAACCAAACGGTAGCCAAGCCTCACAGCAAACCAAAACAATCGACACGACAAGAAGAAACAAGACGAAACCACCCAGAAACCACCAACACAGCAGCAGAGAACGCACACAGAAAACGAATGGCAATGGCAATCACCGAAACATGAGCGAAAAAACAGAAACCACACGGCAGCCGATACGACACAATGATGTCCGATACAGGCAAACAGGAAACAACCCAGCGGGCCGACGCAAAGCAAGACGACCGAAGCGCGAAACCAAAACAAAACGTTAAGCAAACGATCCTTGACAGCCCCTTGCTTCCAAAAGCAAAACAAGCAAGGACGAAGGAAGCGAAGCGTGAGCGATGTGAGGTAGAAAGATGTAAGCGATGACTGGAAGGGTTTCCTCGTGGCCACAACAACGAGGCGAAATGACCATCAAAACTTCAACGAACCATATCGGTGAGGAGCAAGGGCGGGGGGAGTGACTGCGAAGTACCCAGGGAGAAAAAACGTACCTATCACACAGAAGAGACACGACTTAGCAAAAAGCGTTGAAATTATGTTCAATACACGTCAAGGATAGCCGCCACGAACGAATGCCATTCACACCACAATACGAGAAAAAAGCGGATTCCAATACTGAGTAGCCCTAGCACGGAAGCGAGCGAAGCCCAAATGCGTATTTCTGCTGCTGAGTGGAAAGCGACAAAAGTATAATGAAGCGGTGTGATGGCGAACTCTCGCGAATGAAAGCCAACCACAAGACACGAGATAACGCGGATTCCCAGCGTACAGTGAACCTAGCACGGAAGCGAGCAGAACACAAACTTATCCGCACTGTTGCCGGATGAAAAGCGGCGAAAACAAGTGCTCCATCGGTGCAAAGGAGACCGCCGAAGAATGAACGCCGGCCGCTACAACACAAGCATCGAGTGAGCCTAGCACGGAAGCGAGCCAAAAAATCGATCGATTCTGCTGCTGAGTTAAAAGCGACGAAATGACCTCCATTTAGTGTGAAGGAGGGCTCCCTCGAACGAACACAAATAGTGCTGAGTCCAATTTGTGAGGTAGTATAGAACGGGAGAGAGTGAATCACAAATACAGACTGCTACTGAGGCAAGAGGGCGAAAACCACAGCAGTAGTCTCTCGCGGCTTGAACTGCCAATACAGGAATTGATAGCGGTTGCTAAAATAGCGAACTACAGCAGGGGTAGTGAAAGAAGTCCTAAAATACTCAGCGTTTCACTCCCTGCGTAAACATCGCTAACGCTCGCAATGTACGGAATATCACCGAAAACGAAACAGGAGAAATGACGTCCTTCGCACAGAAGCTCGGATCAAAACACCACAACCAATCTAGAGCCCAACTTCAAAACTCATCACCCGAAGCCTACGAAAGCAAGCCTTCACAGCTCACGACGAATGACGGATATGGCCGTGAACATAGAATACAAACGAACACACGCTGAAAATATGATGAAAGGGCGAAACTGCAAAAACATGTACTACATGGGCAAAATACTACCGAGGATGATCAACGAACGAAGGGCAAAGCTGTTGTGACCGTTTCAAACACGCCAAACAACGACATTTTCTCCAGAAACAAGATAAAAAATTTAACAACAACAACAAATCTTTTACCACTTCAATACATAAATAGACAAACATTAAGAAAGCCACAAGGGAGAGGGGAGAGCGTGAGAGAAGTCCTGCGAACATGGCGTGGTGCGTGCTGCCGATGCTGTCATCCGCTCGCGAATGTGTGCTTGCTGCTCACGACGGGTGCCAGAGTCCCTACAACACTCTCGCAAAACAGTAGAGAGAACGCCGATGTTCGTTTGCGATATCTGTAGTGACGCGCGGTGTTGGGTGGTGGTGATTTCCGTCTTGGCTGTGGTCCACAAATCATGTGTCATTTTTTCCCCGGAACGGACCATAGGATGGAGCAAATACGGAAACTCCAGATCGATAAACGGTTTTGCAACATCTCTCGCAAAAACGAAATAAACGGAAGTCTCACCCCAGCGACGCGCACGTCCATCTCGCTGATATTAACGCTAAGCCCGAGCTCTCCCAGCCGCCGCACCTGTCGGCGACGCAAGTCGGGGGTAACTCTTAGGTTGGTGGGTTACGTGGAAAAGATGCTATGGTGCTACATTCCACAAAAAAACCTTCGCCGCTTGTTGAGCCGGCCTTGCGCCGCCGCTGGTGGCATCGCAACACAAAGCAATGCACGACAACGAAAAAAAAGAACAACAGAGAAACTCGAGGAAATTTTGTTTCTTGGCGCATTTCACGACACTGGAATAAGGGAGGCGAAAAAAAAAAACGAAAAATGAGAACCTTGAGTAATCCTCTTGGTGTTGGTGGTCAAAGTGGTGCGTTGGAACAACGAAACCGCTGATAAAAAAAAAAAAGGGCCGTGCGCTCATCAACGACGGAGATGACACACGTGCATGCACGAACACTTTTCAAGACCATGCCCCAGTAAATCCGCCGAGAACAGCCCGGTCACCGATCCCCACCTGTCGCTGGACGGAGTGAGGGGTTGGGGTTCTCCTCATTCCCGTACCCGCGGCCGTGAAGTGCCCCTGCAATCCCGCGCCATGGACCGGAACTCCCCTTTCCTTCATGCCTGTATTTATTTATTTTATTCACGAATGCTGTTCACGAAACGACCGAATCTGTTCGATCGGCACGGATACTTCGAACCCAAAACTGTTCTGCGTGACGAAGGCATATTCATCCGCAGCAGCAACAACAAAAGCATCAACATATTTAGACGCTGGAAGTGGGTGTTGAAGGCTTAGCAACGCCATCTACGAGTCTACAAGAGTGCACGCCAACCAACTAGAGCGGAGCACCAACTGTTGACGCGCATGTCTGTCAGACTTAACAACCAACCGGTCAGCCAGGACGAAAACCCTCGTTGTCCTCTCGCAGGCGTTGTATCTTTCAGCTCTTCTATCTGCTTCGTAGATATGCATGCACGTCGGGCACCGGCGGTCATTCGCCAAGCCGACAAGCCCAGGCTACACTAGTCTCTCACTCGCGGTACAACCTGCAACCAGTCACACCGCGTCCCCCGTTTTCAAACTCTTAACACCGCCCCCGACGTTTCCCACTTCCTCCAATCTACCTATTGATGGATCCTCACCGCACCTTTTAGCATGTCGTACATCGCGTCGGCCTTGCGGGACCGCCCGCCCGACAGCCCCGCCCCCTCGGCCTTGTTGTCGTTGTAGATCAGCTTTGCGTTCGGGTCGATCTGTGCGCAGAAATCACACGAGCTTAGGCTTAGCGAGAGGCCAAAGGAGTGTGTTGCCAAGATACATGCGGTGATCTAAACTCTCCCTGCGTCGGCTCTTTTCCGACAATGCCGTGGACTATTTGCGGAAGAACTGTTGCCCCCCACACCTTCCCCCCCGCAATCTAGACTTAAGTGGGTTGGCGCTGTTGGCAAAGCGCTGTAAAACACGCCACCCCAATTATAGCCCCCACAGTATGCGCTACCAAAGACGCGTGACGCATGGATGCGTGGAGTGAGGATTGCTTGCGGAAACCTCACAGGTTGAGTGATGTAGGAGATCGCCGGACACATAGACGTGTTGAGTGATTATAGCTG